GTCCTTAGAAGAAATGGAGCAGAAAATCAGGTAAATTCTTTGTTCCTGGTCTTGTTACTGTTTCTTTGCTTTATCTTTAACCACTAAAACCTCAAGCATACTTTTCTAAAGCTCAATTTGTAACAATGAAATAATGACTGGGGTTTTTTTTGTCATTTTTCTAAATAGAGAAACAGCAAGAAAAGAGCTACTTGAAAGTAACACTTCATGAACACATAAAACACTATTTGAGTCATCAGTTTAAAAAGTGGTTTGTCTTTTGGCAAAGTAATACTGCTTTTGATTTTGTTTTAGTGATGGTTATTTTCAGCATTGCCAGAACTTAAATATAGTTCTATTTTCCTCAAACAGGAAACAAAGTTTATTAAAACTTAATAGTGAGAGCTTCATGTTCAAATAATATCAAGAATTGTTCATATGTACTGCACAAAAGTGTGGTATACTGCTCAGCACTCTAATGGTTTCTCAAGCAAGGAATTCCCGAAAAATTCTGCTTTTATGCAGCACATTCTTTACTTTCAGTTCTTCATCTTCCTCAGCAAAAACTCCGTATCTTTTGGAAGGGTTCAGTTCTGGGTTGTTTTTTAAATGAAACACCTACGCCTTCCAAGTGAATTTGATAGGAGGGGAACAAAAAGCCTCACTGAATCCCACAGAATTCATGTAATTCAAAACCATCCTATTCTGAAATAATTCTGGAGAAATTCCCAGATCTCCTACCTTGCTAAACTGTTGTTGCACTCTCTTTAAACATTTTATTTCCTCACTGTATTTTTTTGACGTTTTTGTACAGATGTGAACAAGAAGACGTTGAGTTAAAGCACAACTCCACCTTAAAGCAGTTAATGAGAGAGTTCAATACTCAGCTGGCTCAAAAAGAAAGAGAATTGGAAACAGCAGTAAAAGAGACGATCAGTAAGTGAAATACCAATATAACTGTAATCAGTAAAATAGCCAGAAAACCAAATCTTCAGATGTTTTGGGGAAGGGGTTTTACCTGGGACTCCGATAAAGACAACGTGTTTTATGACTGCGTAGAGAACTCAGGGAAAGAACTTCTCTTGCTCAGGAAATAACATATAAATGTTAATTGTAGCACAATTAGGAAAACGCATATGTAGCTGTTCTTTCTTACCTCCAGGATGGGTCTTCGATCTAGCACTCTGTCTGCATCTGTCATGGCAAGAGTTACCCATGGTAGCCATAGGTACCTATCTTTTTATCATATGTACAAAAGAAAAAAGAGGAAGGTAAGGTTTTAGAGGTGAAAGCACATTGGTGAGTTTTCATTGTAATACTACTTTGGCTTCAGCAATACAAACCTTTAACACTCCATTGTTGAATATATGGCACTGAAGGGTGCCTTTTAGAGAAACTTAGATCCATCTGGGAATCAGAATTGCATTTTCTTAGCTGCGTCTTGCAGACTTCATTCACTGTAACCGCTAACAGGTACCAACTGGATATGATGTCTGATTGCTATACCATGTGGTTATAACTAGAGTACAGCATATTTCACCACCTCTGTCCATCTTTTGCCACCGTAGCGTAAGTTGGAGGTTGGAGAAGTGAGCAGAAAGCATCTTTTGACTCCACAGTTACTGGAAAACCCCTACAAGTGAGGAATTTCTGAAGATTTGCAGATGTTTCACTTACTTCTCTAGATAGAGTAGGAGATAGAATTAGTTGATAAATATTGGTTGTGATCTTAACTTTTAGAGGGAAGTTCCAGCATCGGGTAGAAAAAACTGCTCCGAATACCAAACTGCAGGCAACAAATTTCATACATATTAGGATCAAGTGACATAGTTATTACTGACAGTGTAGACAAATTAATTTTCTTGACAGGTTTTCCTTATAGATGCCTTCCACAGTTGTCTTTAGGCTTTTTTAATACTGTTGCGACATAATTTAACAGAATAAATAATGCTTTTTTTAATATCGCCTGACTTTTTTTTTTTATAGGTAAAGCCCAGGAGGTAGAAACTGAATTGATAGAAAATCATCACATAGAGACAACACAGTTGCATAAAAAAATTGCTGAAAAAGATGATGATCTAAAAAGAACTGTGAAAAAATATGAAGAAATCCTTGAGGTATCTTTCTGAAAAGTGATATGACTACATACATTTCAAAATAACTCTTCCCCTTTTTCATTGCATAACTAGACAGAAAAACTATAATTCTTTCTAGTAAAGATCTTACTGCTTGAATTACACTTAATATGTGTGGTGACCTAGCTTGCAGTTAAAATGTTTGTTTCTGTGCTTTATGAACATGAAAGAACACCAAAAATTAAGCCCCAGCTCTGATCACTCAATAAAAATTATACGGTTAGGTCCTTATGTCCTTGAGCAGTTTGTGTTCCAGATTGAAATGAGGAAAGTGAGTTGAATTTAAGGTTTACTAGAGTGGTGGTGGTGTGTTTTTTCTTTTAAGGATTTAAATACGGTGTTTATGGGTCAGCCTCACTCTCTAGCTTCTTTCTCTGATGCTCTGTCCAGATCGGCACCATAGCCCTTAAAGTAAGGTTCTGTTCTATGCAGGATGCAGTCTGTTTGCATAGTTCTTATGCTAGTAAAGCTTTCATTTTTACTTGTAAGTAAAACAAGTTCACTTACTTGTTGTAAGTGAACAATTTGTCTGCATGATATTTGCAGATAGACATAGTTTTGCTCCAGTAACACTTCAACCAGAAGTTAGCAGCCAACTTCAGTCTAAAGACACTTTACCTTCCAAGGATGCCTCCTGTTTTAGCCAAGTAAATTGTCCCAGCCCCACATGTATGATACAAAAGTTTAAACGGTTTTCAGTGCTAGACTGTACATCATATTGGGATGCAGGCTTTAATTCTGCTAATCTTAGTCCTGTTTGCACAAATAATTTAATAAAAAAGAATGTCCCTTGAATAGAGCCACTAATAATAAATGTAGGTGAACTTCTGATTGTTTATGCTCAGTTACCAGCCCAAAGAGTTATGTACTGAGCATGACTGAATGTTTAATACTAAAAATTTCAATCTTGTGGGCAGGTTGGTGTGTTCCAGTCTGATTTTTTTAACTTCTAGCAAGTTGGATGGAGATGGCAGTGTTTTAAATTTAGACTCCCCTTCTTTTGTTTCCTAATTTAGAAAAATTGCATGATATAAAACAATTGAGGGTTGGGGTGGTTTTTTTTTTGTACCGTAGATCTAAATTCTGCATTTCTGGAGGATTTATATTTCTCTTACCTGAACGTGCAGTGTGTTGCCATTCAGGTCCTTACTTTACAGGCCCAAATAGGTCTGTGATTTGAAGTCATGCAGATGTAATTCCTCTCTGTTTTCTGATGCATTCAGCCTGTATCAGAAAGATGCATGCTGTACTCAGTGTATGATCTTGAAGGTTTAGACTAATTTGACTTTGTGCAATTGGAGGATATGAACACTGTTATTTGTTGCATCTCACTGATGATGGCAATGACAGTTGCCTGGAACTGCAATAAGCTGTAGTTTGATATTTTAAATTTCAGAGTATTTGTTTCTTTTTTAGGTAACGGTATATGTGTGTGTGTTTTCTGTTATTTTGGGGAAGGAAAAAAAAAGTTTAGAGAATTTGCTACCTTTTTTCCTGAAAAAGTATTGCAAGCATCTCAAAAGTTAAGAAATATTTATGTTAAATTGAGTGTATGTCATATTCATTGAGATCTCTGATAGAAGTAGGAACATATGCATCAGCAGATATATAGGTTTTCTCAATTTAACCTGAAGTTACCAGTTATTACCCCACTTATACCTGATTTGGCTCATGATAGGTTTGCGAAATTTCGCATCAAGGCATTTATGCAGAGAGGTATGTCTCTGTCATAAATGGTAAGAAGATGAAGCAAAACTAATGCCAATTGCAAGAATGAATTTTGCTCATATAACTTTGTAGCTCTTTCTTGCATCTTAAGCATGGTTAATGAATGCTAAAAATTAGTCTAACTTGATTTGAGTATGTATCCTTAAAGACGAGCAGGAATCACTCAGTCTGTTAATATGATTTATTTGTGAAGTGCTCCCCCGGTACTTCTCTTGCTTTATCTGGTGCTTTCTTATCTTTCATAAAAACTTTTTTATCACATAAGATTTCATGAAAGTCTCCCTAATTAAAGGACTCGTGAATCAGCGTAGCCTGCAATTTGAGGCCTAAGTCTTTCTTCTTCAACTAAAGTATATAATTAGAGAAAAATTGAATGTTGTGCTCCAGCTAGCTTATTTTAAGGCTATCTGTGAGCTAAAAATAACGTACGTAACTTCAGGTGTGTATTCATTCATTTGTCATAATGCCTCCCATGTGAATACAGGATAGGCCTTGTGGTTAAGATTTGGGAAATTAAGACTTTATTGAAGTCTTAGTCTATAACTGTAATTAAATCCAAATAGCATGCACTTTATTTTCAGAGTATGCCAGATGCTGTATAGAACAATAAGTTCTTACTGTAAATACAGTTTCTGTAGCATGTTGGAACCCCATGTGATCTCCAATTATTTTAAATTATAGTCTTTATTCAGGGGTTTATTAAAATAATGCCTCACAGATAGGTCCCTTTTGCAGAAGTGTCATTCATCATTTTGAATTGAATTTCTTTTCTGCATTTCAACTACCTTCTATGACTAAGAAGAACGTGCATGCAGTTTTGATTTATTTCAGTGAACAGGAGTCTAGAAATTGTAAGATTTTAGATTCTTAATGTAAAAAAAAACCAAACCAACAATGACCACCACCCCAAAAAACCCCAAACAGGAAAATAGAAGCAACTGATTATGCCAGGTATTGAGAGTTTTTAACTAGAGGAGTATATACATCTATAAGAAAAAAAAAAAATCTTAGAAAAGGTTAATTGTTGATGTATTTTTGAGGGCATAGAAAAATCATGTGAATGAATAAAAAATAATGCTGTTTGGGGGTCATGATGTTTGAGCAAGGTTTTTATTGAAGATGGATATTCTTAAAACTTCTAGGCTGTAAAACTTGCTCGGGTACTGTGACTTCCCATTCACTAGCTTTTGGGGGGGGGTGGTTGCTTTGTTTCATTTTGGTGGCGGTTTTTGGGCCAAGGGGCTGCATGGGGAGGATGTTTTATTCTTAAGTAGGGTGCAAGGAGCACATTAAAAAGTGGCCTTACAGTGAAATAATTCTTTTTTTACTTATGGCATACCCTAAATCTGTTAAGCCTGGACTAGCTTTCTAGTTCTGCACTTACATTTCCGGTGAATATTCTGCGTCACTACAGTTTGTACTCCTGAGATTTTGAATGGAACAAAATTCTGATCAGCAGTTCTGTTCTTGATAACAGTCGATTAATTGTACCGATTTGATCTGAAGTACTACTGCATAGCAGAGCGGGCAGCTCACTGCCCTGAGTGGTTACCATGGGTGAAACTGGAGTTCTAGTTTAGTTCAGCAGTGGAGACATGCACTTTGAATTGGAGTGCTGTTTTATAAGCTCCCTAACATGTTATCTCACAAAAAGGCCAAAGGGGACACAATTTTTAAAAATACTTCTTTTTGCAAAGTGCCACATAGGTGGATTAACTTGCTAGGATTTAGGTCATCATGTTTTTCACCTATAAATTTACTCCTCATACTGTCATAAAACATACAGGAAAAGTTCATTTCCTCCCTACCATTCTTGCCACTGCTGCTTTCCTCCACGCTGCACAGTGCCCTCCAAACCCTTGTGAGCGGGAAGTCGTTGTTTCTGAAAATGTGCTTAAAACTGCTTTCGGAACATCTTTGTGAGAGTGAGTGAGGGAAGGATTTAAGACCTTGTCACTTCCAGAGTATAGGAAGTAACTCTGTATCATCATGTGTCCCTTTCATGAACATCGTATAAGCAAGCACAATCCCTCCGGTAATACACACTGGATTATACTCGAATGCTGTTTCAGTGCCCAATAGAAATGGCTCTTTTTTTCTAATTTTCAAAAAACTAACTGTAATCCTAACTGTGTAATCTTAATTGTCGAAGGCCTGCAAAATCTTGTTAAGCTCCTGTGTTTGTTTCTTGCTCTTTTCTGTAGTGCCGTAGTGTAACTAGCCTTTATACTGAATTTCAAGCATATTCGTTCTGTGTATAGCATAACTCTTTTGTTGATTGCTTTCTGTCCGCTGCAGTTAAGGTTTTGAGTGGTTAGGTGATTGTCTAAGTAATTTTTTTTCTCCTGCATTTTGAAGGCTCGTGAAGAAGAGATGACAGCAAAAGTTCATGAGTTGCAGGCACAGCTGGAAGACTTGCAAAAGGAATACAAGCAAAGGATGGCAGAAGAGGAATGTTGGAGCAGTGAAAAAGTGAGCTGGCGCTAATTTATTTTTATATCTTTAGGTGTGAAATGCTTAGTCTTCATAAAATTCTGTAGTTTGCTCTTAATTGGATTTTATTTATGTATCTGGCCTTCACTTTCCCATACAGTTTCTATTCTTTTAGATGTTAACTTCTTCAAAAGTGAAGCTCTTTTGAATCTGCAGTATTTGATACTACCTTTTTTAATGGTATATTAAAAAGTCCAGTTGTGTTGTGATTATTAAGGTGGGATTTTTTACGTTAATTTTACTGGAAGCCCTTTAGAAGGAAAGGAAATCATGTTTGGTCATTTTTAGTGTGATTTTTTTTTTTTTTAATTCAAATTCCAAAGGGCTCTGAAATAGTGTCTTGAATATATCAATTATGGACAGGGAGGTCTGAGACCGCATTTTAGTTTGAGGAATTCTTTGATGAAAATATTACTAGTTGTTATTACCCTGAGAAGAGGAAAAGTATATGAGGTGTTGACGCATTGATGAGAATTCATATTAACCTTATTTTCAATTTTTTCATTGTGACAACAGGCAGCAATGGGAATGCTAAATATATTTATTTGACACTACACTTACAGTACAAATTACCTCACCGTCCTAACGTTTGTCCCTTCTGCCTTGCACTTGCTTACAACACCCTTTATATTACTTTTATTAACTATTCCATGACATGAGTGTTGTTTTCATAACAGGAAAAGCAGAAATATTTGTATCAGACTGCCTTGTATTCTTAATCAACCCTTGTCCACCCACTGCTGATAATCTTACATAATCTTATCTGGAGGAAGATTCTTTAAGAGACTCCTAAACCACAAGACATGATGCTGAAAAGTATGAAGAGTACTTTATCTTTAGGGCTTCTTCATTTCAAGCAAGTGTTTCACTACTTGCTTGAAACAAGTTTCAAACACTTCAAAGCAAGTGTTTCACTACTTGCTTTGTTATAGAAGTCTGCTATAAATACAACATGATTTAGCATCATATTATACATGCATCTTCAGGATTACATATTCACTGATAGGACATGAAAGTTATATCAAATCTATATGCCAGCAATGGTATTTCATGTATTTCTCAATTCTTCCCAGAAATGCGTCGCACAGATTTGCAATAGTTGCATAGAGCTGTAAAATATTTTAATATTGCAAAGATTACATGTCTATGTAAAGATGAATCTGCTTACAATAAACAAAATAAACAGCTAATTTTGTCTGTCTTTGGAATCTTGTCCAGAGTTCTCCACTCCTTGGAGTTTCCATGGCAGACTTCGTAGAAACTCAAAGGAGTTGTTCCGCCTGTGGCGGGTATAAATCAGCTGAGAGAACCCCATTGCTGATAAATAGGTTTGTTTTAAAGGATAAATGATTTATCATTTGGAGGGGAGGAAAACCAGGTTGTGTGGTAGTGCATGTACTTAAGTACAGTTAAAGCATCCAGGTTCGAAGTGCTTGCAGAATAAGAATGGGATTTTTTGGTGAGGGTAAGGCAGCTAAATATCCATGATTTCACTGGCGTACAGGCATCTCGCTTTCTTGAGTAATTTTGAGAATTCCAACTAAATTCAAACGTAGCAAACTGTTCACAAGCTTTCTTTTGCATAGCTCTGATTTAACTGAATTTCATATTTCATACTATCCACAGTGGTGACTTCATCTCAAAACAACATAACTGTTCTAATAGTCAGGTTATGCTATTGAATGTGCAGATAGCTCCTGGTACATCATCTGGTCCAGTCAAAGCTCAAATATTTGAGTGCTGTAAGTAAGCGGGCTTCCAGTTCGTGTTTTATCAGTATTTCAGGATTGGATTCTCACTCTTTGACACAGTCTGTTCTGGGGTCAAGAGGTAGTTTTCTTTCTTCCTCCTTAGAAATTAAGAGTTGTTGTTCTTCTTAATTCTTACGTGTCTTAATTTGTCCATTGCCTGTCCTCGGTATGTCTGTAGGAAACTAATTTTGTTATTACCTGGTACAATAGCATATATTTGCATTACAGAGCTAGATGAGAAAATTGGACGGGGCCTGTGTACCTTGTCCACGTACCTGAGCAGAAGTGTACAAATCCACATCTGGGTTTTACATGTGCATTCAAATGAATTCTGTCATCTTATATTTGCCGTGGTATCTTTTGTCTCACCTTATTTCTTTTTTGTTTTGTTGCTTTGTAACATTTTTCTCTTCTGGTTTTTTTTCCTTCAGCACTAGTAGTAAAACAGCTCAGAAGTCTTCCATTGACTGGAAGCAACTTTTTGTGGGCAATAGGTACATTTGTTGTCTAAAGTTGGAGTCTCCTAAGTCAGAAATTTGCCTTATAAAACCTCCTGTGCGGCTTGTTGTCATCCTAGGCCAAACATCACACATAATGTATCCGCTTTGACATGAAGCGTAATTGTACGTTTGAACAATATTTGTCTGACTGTGACAAACAGTTGGCAAATACTAACATCCTTAAGTGTTAGTGTTGGGATGTAAAAATATCAGAAACTGTCTTTCTTCATGAGAAAATAAATGTCTGGTCAGATGATTTAGCTCTTCAGAAGCACGAACTGCACTTACAGGTTTGAGATCCACAGAGGAATGATTTTCCCCTATATTCTGTTTGCAGAGTGTAGGAGAACCCACAGGTTTTATGAACCTACAGAGATGGGGAATAGCTTTCCTCTTCAACACAATTCCAAAGAGGCTCGGGAAGAAACAAGTAGTATGCACCACCTCTGTGTTAAGGTTTAGGTTACCTTAAAAAAAGAAAAAAAAAAAAAAAAAAAAATTCACACACAAATTATTTGATGTTAAAATGATTTTACAGCCTTGAGTTATACCCATGGCTATTAAAGCATTATTTTCCTTAGAGTTGGAACATTGAAAGATAGAAACAATTCTAAGCTGGAATTTCTGTACTTCATAAACATTGCTATCTTTGCAAGATGTAGAGCTCACGAAGCTCTTAAGCTGAAGCTATTTTCAGATAAATACTCACATTTCCAAATGCAACTTGGAGAATTAAGGAAAAGGATACAATACTGTGAATAGGGTTTTCTGGCATGTGCTTCATACTCATTCAGTTATCATTCATCTCCAATATGCATTTTGTAAAGATTTGGAATTACTAGGTTCTTGAAGTTATATTTATGATAATTGTCTTACAGAATCAAATGAAAGAATTTAAATATAAGCTTTATATACTGTCAATACAAATAAGTTAAACTCTATTTATGGGACTACTTATTTTTGTAAGTATATGTGTGATTTGGTCACTTCAATTCTTGTCATCCTCAATTAACACACTGTATCAGAACTAGGTGATTGATATTTCTTTTTTTTTACCCGTGTCCAGTGCTTGATATACACAGTATTTTTCATACATTTTAATCTAAATTTTTTGTTGTTGTTCTAGGTAACAATAACAGAACTTCAGGTAAGTCTTAAATTTTATTGATTTTGCTCTGTAGATAATTCTGTCTCACAGCAGTTTGAAAGCAGAAATGCTGCTTATAAGTTTGTGGGTGTTAAAAGGAGAAAGAGGTTTATAGAAAAGGTACCTATGATATATCTTCAGCAGTTTCTTGATGATTTCCATATGTGGCTGTTCTTTCAGGCACAGCTTGCACAGAAGACAACACTAGTCAATGATTCAAAACTGAAAGAGCAGGAGTTCAAAGAGCAGGTAAAGGTGCTGTTTGAACAAGTAAAAAGTATTCTTTTGTTTGACGCTTCGTGTTTGCAGTATTAAAGATTTGTTCTTTTCAAGTGATGATGTAGCACATCTCCACACAGGTACTATGGAAATAATAGGTATGTAAAGTAGTTTTGACTCATACTTGCTCTCAGAAGATCTGTGCACTTTTCAAAGTACTCCTCTGTCCCCTGAGAATGAAAATACCACATGCTTGTGAGAATGAAAATAACACATGCTTGTGATACTGGTTAGAAAACATTTGCACAGTGAAAAATGGAACAATGCACTTAATGAAATTATGGATCTTTTCTGTTTCTAAACTAAACCTTTTTTGATGTTAAGTACCATTTTTGTCATGTTTTCTTTTTTACATATGCTTATGTGTATAAAATAGACATGTGTATATATGTATATAAATACATATATATGCATAACATTTGATATAGAAATTCTTATGTGTATATACACATGTACACACATTTCCTTAAGTAGTTTAGGGACAATTTTTAATAACACAATTTTTAATGTTTGCCTTCCTTAAAAAGCAAATGTATTTTGCTTTTTTAGAAGGAGACAATGTTTAGCTGAAAACTGTTTCAATTATGCTTATTGTAGCTGCTTGTGAGCACCACTTATCATTTTGACTGTTCTCTATCTAGATTCATGTACTGGAAGACCGGCTGAAAAATTATGAGAAGAACATGTATGTCACATCGGTTGGAACACCGTACAGAGGTAAGTACACAGTCTTCATCACAAATAAGTTTTTTGTTTGTTTGAAAGATATGCTTTGGTTTAGACAATTTATTAAAATGTCAGTCTCTTTAAAACACTCGTATAATATTTTTATGACATCTTATCCTTGTTTTGTCTTGTTATATTAGAGCTGGTGTGTGATTTCAGATGAGCAAATCACACGGCGTTTTGTTTGATGTTTGTTTTTATGTCATAGAGTTAAAAGAGCTGTATATCAGAGTTATTAAGCGTTCTGTATCGCCGGGGGAGCGGTATAGGCAGTGGCACTTGAAAGTGGGTGGGGAGGAATTATCCATTTGTCTTGGCTAATTAAATATACATTTTTATGACTCTCTAAAATTCTTAACAACACAAATATTAGATTTTATGGATCTTTGTTACATGTCTGGGCATTTACTCTTCTTCTGATTAGACTTCCTTTGCAAGATCTCCTGCTCTGACACAGTAATAAATAAAATAAAATCCTGTTTCCACTTGTAATCTTTGTGTTATGTGTCCTTGAAAGTGTTTTTGGAGATGAAAAACCCCTGGCATTTCTGGCAAATAAGAGTCTCGTCGTTATTCGACTCATGGTGAGCGCAGGGAATAGAATAGAATAGTTACTCTATGCCTAGAGTTCTGCGTGACAAGCTATGACCTAGGCCTGAGGGCTCCATCCAGGAGAGCAGCTCTCTGCAGCGCAGGTCCCAGGCCCATCCAGGAGACAGGGGCAGAGACGGGCACACCCACAACATGGCTCAGGCAGGGACTGAAGGCCCCAGGCTGAGCTGAGACATGTCCCCTGGGCCCTTGGCAGGAGACAGTGGGGATGGGCATCCCGGGGGAGGCCGGTCCCAGCCACTGAGGCCTATGAGCACCCCCAGGACCCCGACAGAAGTGGACTTGCACTGCTCATATGGTCTCCTTCAGACATTGACGGTTGGCCACTTTGGAGACAGAGCATTGGGCCAGATGGCCCTTTGCTCTGAGGGAGTGCTGTTGTTCTCAGGCCCTTGTGTTCTAGCATGTTTTTCCACAGGAAACAGCTCAGGCATTTCTAAAAATGAGTACAAGGAGAAAAA